GAAGCGTGTACAGAAAATGGATGGATGGATGGATGGTCAAAATCAGTGACATGTGGTCATCAGCAGCAGAGGAGGCAGCGCCTCACTTGTAGTCATGGATAGAAACAAAACAAACATCAAACAAACAATAAAACAAGTAAATGGTTATGTTTATCCAGTGTTTTGTACTATAAATAAATTTCTATTCAAGTTAAACAACTTTGAATGATATTTTCTTTAAAATGGCTGAATTTTCTCATTTCCTGGACTGAGAGGCAGCAGCAAGCTCCGCCTCCTGGATTATGCAACCCCATTCAAATTGTTGCGTAATAACACTCAGTGAGAGCGGACTGCTGCTGTGTCCCTGTATGTCACCGGTAAAATGTTTCAAATAATTTTGATATATGCCAGTTTATATACTGTATATTTACATGCGTAACGGGGCTAACAGTTCTCGTGCCGCAGGAGTAGGGGGCGCTCATGAGCCCAAAGATAGCTGCTGAAGTTTTCCTGTAGCTGCAGAAAAGTAACAGTAGTAGAGATGGGATAAACGGTCCTTTGATGTGGATCTTGAGGTCTGTTCTAAAGAGCCGTTTGATTCTGAACGAGTAATGATGTCATTAATTTGAACCATGCTGTTGAGCGGAAACCCCTCCTCATTTCGCATTGAGTAGCTGTGCTCCACCGCTCTGACTGTTTTCTGTGAAAAAAGTGAAGCGAAAGCGATTGTCTCTGTGTTCAAACATAAAAAAATAAACACGTTACAAGGAATAAAAAATTGGAACTACAAACAGCTATTTACTTCCCGGCATGCCCGCGACTCAGTTCCTTTTGTTCGTAGTAAAGAGACGTTCAAAAGATTCAGATCGTTCATGAACGTCACATCTTCAAACACTAAGTTAATCTTATAATTAGCACGTCAAGTGCAGCGTTTTTAGTAGCTGTTTGGTAATAAAGTAAAATAAAAGCCAAATGAAGCAATTGTTTTCCCTCTTGCCAAACCTGCTTTTAAATGGAGGATTATATATTTTAAAGCTCAAACAATTTTCTAAAGTGGACTTTCAGCGGTAGCAGACCCACACAGCTGAGACAAAAGACGTTCTCAAACAAACAGAGGGGCTGTGTTGATGTGATGTGCTGACAGAGAATTTTTGCTGTTGTTGCTTTCCTTGCTTTTTCATGACTTGTGACAATACCTGGACTCAGTAAGATACTGTGAACGGTGCATGTATTTGAAAGGGTACTTAATGAGATATGATTTAAGACATGAAACATAACGTTAATTTTTTATAATCAAATGGTGATGTTGTTCTAAGGTTTGTATTTTTGTAAAACTGATTCTGATGAGCTGAGAGCCTCACCAACCTCACCGCACGTCCCTGACATAAGCTCACCAAACAAAAACTCACCCTTAACGAAAAAAGACAAACGCTCACAAAAAACATAATTTTTATTAGTCATGCATTGTATCACAGCAAAAGTACATAAGATTCAAGTAGTATCATATATTACATAAAAAATAAGCTTATTGTATGAGAGTAAAACCACTGATCAACATTGTAACTGCTCATTCTTGCTCAATTCGATTAAAATATTGGTAAAAAAAAAAAAGATGAAGTTAGAAGATGAGAACAACTCAAAGTAAGGAAGGTGTAAAAACTGATATTTTAATTTAAAAATGTGTGAGCTTTTGTCCAGTGAGCATTTGTCCATACACTCCTCACTCAATACAATCTTTTGAAAACAATGACATCATAGCCCCGCCTCCAACACATCTTATGATCATTGGGAGGCCTTTTCCTCCTCAGGAGCCRTGCCTGAGTTCTGGATATTTTAGGATAAATCCTGGTTCCTCAGATGGATTGAGWTCAAATTTTCAGCCACGAACAAAAATATTACTTTCTTTTGTTTGTATTTATTACATTTTTTAAACTATCTCCTGTCTCTACCACCAGTTTTGCAGGAAAAAAAAGACATTTTAAAAACAAGCTCAAACTGCTTTATGTTTCCACAGGATGCATCTGAGCAGATTTCTTTGGAAAGGGCTCCTCGGCATAAAACAACAACAAAAAATAGATGATCTTTGGCCGCAGACTGCAACCAGAAAATTGTTTTTGTTTTAATGGATACTAAGAGGATCTGCAGGTCGTTGAGTGGATGTTTCTGTTTTTGTGCATCTTGCAGTGGATGAACAGGTTCATTGTGCATTGGGGCAAAGAGGTGATAGTTGCAAATTTAATGAAACACAACCGCGATCATGTGTGTGCACTCATCCATCTCATCCTTCATTCAGCCCCTCTTTGACTTCCCTCGGTCATTTTTTTTTCTCATTTTGTTCATTCAGCTGTAACTATAGCCCTCGATCAGCCTGGACGATTTCCTGGAACAGTCACTTATCTTGTTTTCTTTCTACCTCCATGTGAGCTAATCATCTGGCAGCCCCTTCGGTTCACCCCTTTGCAGCAGCCGTGTCACCCCCCTGACCCTCTTTTCACTCCTCTGCTCCATCCTCCTTTCCCACATTGCCTGCTTTTCTCTTTCCCGCTCGCTCCATCGCTCGATGGGAAGTCATGTGACTTCTCTGAAGCTGAGGCGTATAAACCAGCTGCTCTTGGGGGGGTTTCTGTGTCTGCGCGGCGCTCTGATTGGCTCTCGCGTGTAGATGGTGCTCGGTGCACACACTCGCATACAAATGCACGTCCCCTGCAGACCCCCTGTTTTCCTCTTTTACGAGCAAACAAGACTTGTGTGCACAATACCTTACTTTTCCAGTAAAAGATGTATTCAAACAGGACAGTGCTTGTCGGGGTTTCAGTGGGAAAACAGGCAACACAGCTTGAGCATTTTGTTTCATGTTGGAGGAAGGTTCAATTCAGCTGCTAAATAGTGATTCAGTGGGCTTGTTTAATCTGAGTTGAAAGACAAAGGCCTCGATTTACGTTCCAACGCTTGCTTGTGGTCATGAGATGTGGGTCATGAAAGAACAAGATTCTGGATACAAGCAGCTGAAATGAGCTTCCTTCGCTCAGCCTCAGAAATAGGAGCTCAGACTAGCRCCACTGCTCCTCCACATCCAAAAGAGTCAGATGAGGTGGTTCAGGCATCTGATTAGGACGCATCCTGGATGCCCCCTTTAAGAGGTGCTCCGGGCACCTCCCACAGGTAGGAGACTGTGGGGAAGACATAGGACTCTAAGGGATTATTATATTTACCTTTATTTAACTAAGCAAATCTCAATGAGGTCTTTTGCAATGGTCTGGGCCCAGAGATAGGTAGTAAAGTTACATTTACTTAAGTAAATATTTGTGGGAAATGTACTTTTGTAGTTTTACTACACTGTACTTTTTACTCTAGTTGAGTAATATTATTAGGAAGTATTGCTACTCTTACTTGAGTAAAATTTCTGAATACTCTATGTATCGTATGTACGGTAACGTCATCCGCTGAACCTGCTGAGACATTTAGTGGTCAAAACACGTTAAACTGTAAAAATATTCACTGGAAATACTTTACCCTGTTCTGAAAAGAAAATAATAATCCATCCATCCATCCATCCATCCATCCATCCATCCATCCATCCATCCATCCATTATCTATACCTGCTTCTTCCTTTCAGGGTCACTGGTGCCCATATCCAGCAGTCACAGTGCGAGGGGCGGGGTACGCCCTGGACAGGTCGCAAGTCCATCACAAAGTAAAAGAATAATTTACAGTTGTTTACTTGTTTATGAGCCCGTGTTCTTATTTTAATGTTTGTATACATGTTTGTTTTAGTTTTCACGGTGATCGTGGGGATCTTGATGATTTGGTGATCATGGAGCACCAGATGAAAATAAAAGGCTTAAAATCACCCGTCGAGGATGTGCTGAAATTTGTATGAGAGAGAGAGAGAGAGAGAGAGAGAGAGAGAGAGAGAGAGAGAGAGAGAGAG